TCATGTGTTTACTAGCCTTTTTTATGCCTTATTTTGTAGGGTACCCATTTGAATTTTTTTGCCCTTTTTTTTTCCCCTGAATTTGTGGGAGTTATGTAGTCTAGATATATTACTTGTCGTATATATATATGTATTGCAAGCATCTCCACCCCATTATGCCTTGCCTTTTCACCCTGGTGGTTTTACTAGATCATACTAGTACCATTTCTTAAATCTTCAAGAGGGTTTTACCACATCTAACATAAACCAGAAAATCAATGTCAAATTCCTTTGCCTGCTTTTGTACCTGATTCTGTCAGGTGACTTCTAGAGGCACCCAAAACAGCACTGGGAGGTCATTTTTAGGTTATTTGTTGTTTACAACAGTCGTTGAGATGAATCCTTATAATGTGAGAGATTTTGAGAGAGAGTTCTTTCCAGTGGGAAAAACTCATATTACATTTAGGCAAAGATAACAATTTACCCCTCCCCAGGATAGTATTTGCAGCACAGGAAAACAAGCTTAAATTTATTGGCTTTCTATATATCCTTAATGGTCATTTCTGTGTTGTAACTAAAGGTCTTTGTCTTTATTACAATCATCCTTAACTAGTGTCAACAATCATTTACTGAATATTTAAATGTTTATCATTTATCCCACCAGAAAGCACAGCAACTATTTTCTTACAACAATGTGCCAGTTTGGCTAGGTTACAGTCCCAGTTATTCAATCCAACACTAATCTAGGTGTTCCTATGAAGAATTTTGCCGATAAAAAGTCTCTAATCAACTGACTTTAAATGAGACAGAGAATCTGTGGGCCTCATTTAATCAGTTAGAAGGCCTTAAAAGCAAGACTGAGGCTTCCCCAAGCTAGAAGAAATTCCCTTGTGGACAACAGCTTGAGCCCACACTCATAGACTTCCATCCTGCTTGTGACCCTCCCTTCTTGACTGCTGCTGCCCTGTCAATTGACCTCTGACTTGCTTAGCCAGCCACCACAGTCACAAAAGCCAATTCCTTGCAAAATATCTGTTAATGTATATATCTCCCACGAGTTTTGCTTCTCTGGTTATAACTTCAACTAATACAATCATCTTAGGATAATACAATTGTTTTTCTTCACAAACAAATTAACAGGCAAAAAAAA